CCCCGCCACCCTCCACAACCTTCATCCACGCCGCCCTCCACCTCACCGCGCCAACAGGCGGGCTCAAACGCATCGTCTTCCTCTCCTCGTCCCTCATCCCCATCAACGGGCCCGCGCATGGCCAGATCCACGCCTTGCTGGACCGCTTATCCTCCAAACCCGAGGAGAGCGGGCTGGGGCAGTACGCGGTATTGCGTCCGAGTTGGTTCGCGCAGAACTTCTTGGAGGGAAGTGGGGGGATGCATTGGGGAACGGCAATGCGGGAGGGGAGGGTGTATAGTGCGACGGGGCAGGGGAGGGTGCCGTTTGTGGACGTGGGGGATATTGCGGCCGTGGCGGCAGAGGTGCTTGTTGCGGAGAGGTTGCCGGAGGGGGATTGGTTGGAGTCGGAGGAGAAGGAGAGCGCTAGTGTTGGCGAGAGGGAGGTGAAGGGGAATGGACAGCAGTATCTCATTCTTGGGCCGCAGCCGGTCACGTATAATGAGATTGCGGAGATGATGGCCGAGGTTCTTGAGAGGCCGGTCGAGCATGTCAATCTGACTGTCGATCAGCTGGCGCAGAAGCTCGTTCAGGTTGCAGGTTTGGACGCGAATTATGCGCCTGTTCTTGCTGGTTTGGATGGGTTCATTGCTGGTGGCGCGGAGGAGAGGACCTTTGCTGATGCAGGAGGAGGCTGTGTGAGGCGGATGCTTGGTCGAGAGGCGAAAGAGGTGAAGGACGTGCTGCGAGACGCTTTGGCTGGGAAGCAATCGTGAAGCTACGTTCGTGTCAGGGTGAAGAAAGGTCCGCTGCCCAGTGGATATGTGCACACCTTTGTAATACAGTGGACGCTTGAGCCAGTGTTCTTCCCCGCAGCCCCTGAGCTTCCAGTCGAACTGCGATGAAAAATGGGAAGACCTGAGCAAAGAGAGTAAAGCTCGGAGGCTTCATCAACTCAGGCCTACTACACATATAGTCAGCATGGGCGGCAGGCGCAATGCCACCGCCGGATATAGCACCGAGTGTCTCCCAAGAGACAAAGGTCACGTGACCCGCGCATCCAAGAGTCCCTCGTGGCCGTGATTGGGCAGGGCTACTCCTTTTTAAGAACCCTGTTGAACCTGTTAGACATGTATCGGGAAGAAGGAAGGAGGCACTCACTTTGACCGCTTGCTTACACTTGACTCGTGGAACAGGATGTGCCCGACTAGATCCTCAGACATAATAGTCGAGTCCACTCGTTTCGCTCATAGGCACGGCTTATTCACTGATAGACCACCATCTCGAAAGAGCTCGGCATTCTTAACCACAAGGTCTCTCCCTGGATGCGTACTCGGGGAAAAGTTGAAATGAAGAGGACATTGCGACTAGGAACGAAGGAAAGATTGGGACAAAGACCATCCAAGAGTCCCTCGTGGCCGTGAATGGGCAGGGCTACTCCGTGACCCTGTCGCATTGGTTAAATTGAACATCTAAGGGGCAGATAGGCGGGACTCACTTTGACCGCTTGCTGACACTTGACTCGTGGAACAGGATGTGCACTTGATCAACCCAGGGATTGACCGAGTGGAACCTCAGACATAGTGTCGAGTCCACTCGTACGCTCAGACGCGCGGCTTATTCACTGATAGACCACCACCTCGCAGGAGCTCGGCATTCTTAACCACGAGGTCTCTCCCTGAATGAAGTGTAAATGGAGAGGATGTTGTGACCAGGAACCAAGGAAAAGTGCACTTAGCGTTGTTCGAGTCATCATGATCTGTGTGCGAACTCATTAGCATAAGTTCTGCTGGCTGTCTGTCAATGCTGGGCGACCCGCGCTTGATGAAGGACATCATGACTTCTTGGCGAGCGAGTGCGACTTACGACGGGCCAATGTAGCGATGGGTGTGCGAAATGCTGTTGAGAAGATCGAGTATGGTAGCAAAGGAATGCACAAAAGTAATTTGAGAAAGAAAACAAACAGTCGAACGGCTGATGCGAAAGAGTCTGGTTGTTGATATAGTGGAGCACAGACCGTATGCACCAGTCATGACTTGGCATATGGCTGCCCCACATGACTCGCGCCTTCCCGATGGTTCGCATGACTGCTTCACTACTTCAATCTCTGTCGACATCCAAAGGGAATGTTTCAAGTGAACCAAGCATGCCGAGCTTGAGGCCAGCTCCATCTCTGGCGCATCAACGCCCATATCTTGTCTCAATGCCTCCTGTTATGCGCCGGCGTGATCAACACCCATGTACCTACGTAGCTGGGAGGCAATGTTTCTCTCGTTCATGCGCTTGCCTTACCCCATCACTATCGTGCTACCGATGGCATCTACCCTTCAGCTTTCAAGACTGGTGTGAACAGACTGTGGGGGAGTCTCGGATTGGGTTTGTCAGCTACATGAAATCTGGGGGAGTCTGCGATGACAGGCCTGTCCGTGTCACTTGAGACCGCGACGAGGCGACACCCAGATTCCGCGAAGATTTACGCGAGGTGAAACCGTGAAAGTTTGAAGCAGAGGGACTTCAACGCGTGACTCGACCGAACTCGCCCAGCAACCTCGAAATCTGGTTTTCAAATTCTTCGGCTTCATCCTCGTCCGCCAAATATCTTCTCGCACCACCGGTTATCCTTGTTCACAGACAGTGTGTACTAGGGTCGAGAGCCGCTACCGATAGCCGCTCTACTCGAACGAGTGTCGTCATCCCGACTGTCGATACTGTAAGTCCACTCAAAAGCCGAGACACTTAGTGTCAGTACTGATTTTCATAGACGAAATCGCCAGCAAGCTACACCGCCGCTGCCAACATGTTGAGCAATCTTCAAGACGCGTCAAGAGATGCGAGCAAGCGGCCAGGCAGTCCACTGCAGCCCGAAGGTCCTGCGAAGCGACAAAACACCAGCACGACGTCAGTCCTTCTAAAAGACTGACTCACTTCGTGTATGTTAACGACTTTGTAGTCAAGAAGCAACGGCCGCATCTACTGTACAAGACAAGGATACCTCTCTCTCTCTCTTGTTCATAACTCTGTACAGCAAGTGGCATTCCCTTCCGACATGCATCCAACTCTGGGCTCGGATGAGCATACGATGCTTATGTTTGGTAACGCGCCATCACGAGAAAAGCGAGAGGTGACGGAAGTGTTGGACACAGTTCGTGCTGGCTCTGTCCCAGATCTGCGTCGATATTATGCTATCTCGCCTGCCAGCATGCTTGCTAGGCCTGTTGAGGCCGAGAATGCCCAGGAGATCTCCATATCGGAATTGAACCACGATCCCACAAGTGCTTCCAACAACATTGCACATGCTGCTGCTGCGGCCCCAAGCGCCTCCATCCACGCATCTGGTCCGGATCCCAACAATGGTCTTCTCTTTGATGATGAAGCACATATGCGCAACATTCTTGCTGCCCATCAATTGCTCGACAACGTTCCAAATGCTCCCCGGGTTCACTTTCGATTCAACGTGGCTGGCATGCTGGTCGACATGGACACGCAGGGTCATCCTATCGATTGCTACCCCTGCATCTCGAACATCGATGTGGTGTCGTCCGTGGATGAAAACCTCAACCACCTCAAGCGGACCGCAACCGACGCGCTCACCACTCGCTTCCCCATCCTATTCGCAACGATCGGTGACCGGTCAAAGGCTGTGTTCTATGTCCTCGCTCAACTTCCGGTACCCAACCAACCCCACACAGTCATTGAGAAAGACGCTGAGTTGAAAGCCTGGGTACGGAATTTGGCCAAAACCACGACGGTGAATCCACTGTCTCCGGGATGTCTCGTGGCAGTCTTACGATTTACGCAGGCCTACGTCATCACCGCAAGAGATTCCAACCTGTGGTCGAGAAAGAGTATGGCGTTTCGTTCCCCTACGATGCCGAGGCTGTCAAGACCAGGAAAGCTGCCAAAAGTAGCAGTGGTGTCAAGAACGAAGACAGTACACACGCTCAGGGCCCAGATACAGGTTCAGCTTCTGGTGTCAAAGACGCCGCCTCCGCGCCGCAGACTCGGAACGAAGACGGCGCTGACGCTGACGACCGAGATGCCGGTACAGGTTCCGGTGTCAGAAAGACCCCCGCCGTGCCTCAAACTCACACAGAAGACGGCCCAGACGCCGGCACAGGTACCAAGCACGCCTCCGATGTCGAAGAAGTTCCCGCCGTACCTCAAACTCAGAATGCCATCAACAAATGTCGATTTCCTCGCTGCGGTCGTGAGTTGCCCAATCTCGCACTTCTTCGAACACACATTTATAGGTACCACGGTCCCGACGCTGTGAGAGTCAATGAGTCAAAGCAATACGAATGCTGGTGGAAGGGGTGTGTCGGCTTTAGTGAGGATGGCAAAGCCAGCCCAAAGTTTGCATTTGCAAGCATGATTGAGTGGATGGACCATGTCGACGAGGCACATCTGCATTAGGTGGCTATCAGGTCGGCGGAGAAGGGGAGTGGATGTAAGCGTAAGCCGCTGAGGAGATATCTATGAGGTTATTGCGTTGCAACAGTGCGATGTCCGAAAGGAGTAAGCTCACCTTCTGGATCGGAAACTCATCAGTTTCACGCAGGTTGCGGGCCAGGTCAGCAAGGGTCCGTAAGTCATAGGATTCGGGTAAGACCAAGTGCTGGCACCATTCCTACTACTTGTTCAGGGCAGGGCTTGGCGTTACGAATGCTTTGTAGGACTGAAGTGTCTCAACACACTCTTGGATACTCATGTACTCGCGCGACAACCACTTCATAGATTTAGAGATGGCACGAATCATTCTAAATTTATGCCCTTAGGGACCGTCCACTCCTTTGCACGCCCTGTAGGAGGCTTGTAGTAGCCGAGGAAGTCCTTCTTCATTGACCTGCAAGATGAAGTGACACAACACAGCGCAGAGCGACATAAGCTCATCAGGGTCTTCCTCATCGGAGGCATCGGTAGGAGTGAGCCGCATAGCTTATCGAAGCAGGCTTGAGGAAGTTTGGCGGAATTACGTTTCCTGTTCCCAACGGCGGAGATCGTAGATCCGCAGTGTCGATCTCGAAGATCGTCCAAGCTAGATATTCATGACAGCTGTCAGGCACGACCTCGTGCATCCGCGCTGTCCAAATTGACGATCACCGGGAAGGCCTTAAAGAGCTGCAGGAGCCGGTGTCGACAATCCACCTTATCATATCGGCACACGCCATCATTGAGAATGCGTACATTCGAGCCGGTTGTGGCAATGTCATACGCCGGCTAGCCCTGGTTGCTTCGACGGATGCTTCTACGACCAAGCTACACAGAAGTAGCCGCTATGTATGCATCAATGCCGTCGTCAGACGTGATGCTCCTCGGCCTGCTGGTCTCCATTGGTACTAGAGGGTCAGATATTTATCGACATTACCCACCCTCGTCAGTGCCAGATCCATCTGAACGTTCCTCGTCCATCAGTCTCAGCACAAGCCGCGATTGCACAGTGATCTCGTCGAATGGATACTTCGTCTTGCTCAATGCCTCCTCCAAAACCCGCCGGAACGCCTTGGAGTGCCGCCTAGCCTCAACCGCCGCTGCACGCTCATCCGCGGCCTGCCTGGCCCTCATGGCTTTCTCGATACTTTTGGTGAAGTATACCTCTGGTTCAGATGCCGGTTTTGGCGTCACTAGTCCGCGTGCGACCATGTTTGAGCCGGCGGCTACGACGGCGAAGACCAAGATTCTCTGCTTGATAGCTTGCAGTGTGGTGAGTTGCGCCCGCGGGAGAAACTCTTCGCGAGTTGGGAGGAAGGAAGCGTGGTCTGAGGTGGGTGCGATGTTGTCCAGATGGTCGTAGAACGCTGTAGTGTATGTCTCCACGAGATCTGGATAGAGTCTGTAAGGATCGGTATTTATAGACAGGTTCAAGTCTGCGTGGTCGGTCTCTGGTTGTTGGCTCAGCGTCCGAACGGGCAGATTTACCTTTGCATCAGACATGGCTGTGTCAGCTTTGATTCTATCGTGTGTGGCTGCTTGAGTCGGTGAAGCTATCCCAGCAGTCGCCGGTGTTGACTCTCCGCTTGCAGGCTTACTGGTCGGGTCTCTCAGAGATGTCACGAGCTCTTGACGGGGAACACTAGCGGACGCAGCTATAGAGTGCCATGCTTTCGAGCCTCGAACAGAAGCAGAAGCATTGACTGCTTTGTTGCTGTCAGCGGAAGGCTCGGTTTGACCCTCTACCTTCACAGCTCGCCTGCTCCGTGACTGGCGTAAGCCAGAAGGCGGGTCGGCAAACACGCAGTCCGACCCTCGTCGCACACAATTCGAGCATGAATCCTCTCCCCGCATACGACACTTGAGCTTCATTTCTCGGCATCGACGACATGCCTGTGCCGTCCTCCTTCGTGGCTTCCCGGCAAGGGTCAGATCAGTCTCCGGCAGGCTCACGGACGGAGTTGAAGAGGTTGATCGCGACGAGCGATGTCGAGGGCGTGGCTGTAGAGTCCTTGTTGACCCCGCGTTGTACTCGTCAACGAAAGACCATGACCTGCGATTGAGTGAGGACGAGCCTTGTGAGACGAAAGAACGCTGCAATTCAGCTAGTGAGTTCGAGCCCGTCGATGCATGACTCGATGTAAGCGGCGATGTCATTGGGCCCAGGTCGTTGCTGATCCCATCCCGAGGGAATTGATGAGCCTCGGTGGATGATCCGAGAGACGTAAGTAGTTGACGGAAGGAAGGAAGTGTGATCGGTTCCAGATCAGGCAGTCGCTGAGGCCGTTGGTCCATCATCGCTAGCATTGTTGTCGTCCACAGACATACATCTCACCGAGTTACGGCGTTGTAGTCTCGCAAGTGGGTATCGGTTGGAACTTCGTGGTATATGAGGACGAAATGATCACTCCACCTGAAGGACACATCCCGACGGCACGGACCTCTGGCAGAACATTGGTGGATCATCCGTTAAAGTTTCGTCTGAAGAATGGCGAATAGGACACTAGTGCTGTTCTCCTGGAGAGGATATGCGTAAAGCATGAACTGATAGAGTCGCCATCGGATGGGACACTACCTAGGTAGATTCGATGCCTATGTAACCTCTTAGGTCTGACTCGAGCAATCTAAAAGAACAAGACGGGGTTGTAGCAGATTGTGGGCTTTCTCAACGACGCAGATGGGTATTTCGCGATAACGCCCAAACGGAGGTGTAGCGAATGGCTCGCCCGTAGCGCGAAGTCGACCAGGAAGGCACGCCATCCCGGGTCTTAGTCTAGCAGTAGCGGAAGCTCGGCGAAGCTGGATACCCGCGATATCATAGATTGGGTTGATGATCCCGCCCGGGAGACATCATCAGGCCCGACAGATTGCGGCTTTTGGCAAACTTTTGCCATTCCAAGTTGTTTTGGTCAAGGCGTGGTGATAGTGGTTGAGATCTCGACTCGCACTTGCAGTAGCGCGCGTCCAAGCGGCTGGGAACGCGGACTTCATGCACTCCCGTGAGCGAATGTTGAACAAAAGACAAATTAGTAATCTACAGACGCAGTGCCCGCGAGACGACGCGTGTAGAGGCTTGAGGCGTCATGCGGGTCTGAGACGTCCGCAGCTACTGAGGTTACACGGCATGTGCATACCCGGGTAAACCAACGTCCTTTGCTAGCTGTCAAAACGCACAACGCTAGAAATGGTCAGGGCTGAGGAGCAATGGCAGCCAGTCATACAAGCCCAATGGTTGGAACTATTTTTCCGGGGGACGCGAATTGCTGATCTCCGCGAGACATAGCGCCGGATCCGTGTTCTCGAAATGCAGATGATAAGCGGGGAATCGGGGATGCATTTTGATCGATCAGATTCAAGATCTCACCCGAGCAAAGTACAAATTCCCAAAGTGAGGCGGGCGACCACTACGCGGATAGTCACAACTAAGTTTATGTTCTGCCTGATAGTAGTACAAGTCCCTGGGCAGTCCAAGATCTCAACCCGCGGGCAAGGTTCGCGGGCAGCAACGATATGCATGCCAAAAAGTTGCAGCTTGCGATATCCACAATTCTCGTCCGAGTGTCATGTAGCGTCCTCCATTCCTTTACGGCACCCTGCTGCTGGGTCGTGCATGGGACTCAGAACTTAACGGACTCTGGTCTCGATGGAGTGAATGGCCAGATTCGGTCACCTCCAGATGTCAGTCGGTTTGAGTGCGACAGCAATAATGAAGCGAGTGTTATGTCAAAAATGCCCAGGTGGTACAAAATCTCGCTTGCTTATCTCAAGAGATGCGTTAAAGCTTCGCCGTGTTGAAGCAAATTACCAGATGCTTGTACATGGTACATTGAGAAGCTTTATGCATGCACGGCTTCTCGAGGCCCGCGCCGTAAATCGAAGTGCTCCGCGCTTCATGGCCTGCATAAATCATGTCTGCACGGAAATGGTCCATGGCTCACGACATGAATTCTTCGGTGTCGTATCTCATAGACTTCCGACTGCTGCGCTTGTCCTTGATCTCCCTCGGCGACAACAATGAAGGAGGTGGTGCGAGGTCATCAGGATCTGGCATTGGGTCATGCACTGACTGAACAGGAACCTGAGGCATCTGAGACTGCCTAGCCATGAAATCAAAGGCTCGCTGTGTGCCGGATCGCTGCAAAGGTCGCTTCTGCACTTCGGGCTGTTTTCGAACTTCAGGAATGGGTGGCTTCTCGTCCCGATAGTAGTCCGAGGAGTTGTCATTCGTATACGCGGGTGCTGACTGTTCCCACGAAGGCGATGGCTGCTGTCGTTGGGATTGGCCGTTGAGGGTGACATTATTCATTTGCTGCTCAAGGGAAGCACCTCGTGGAGGCCGCTGCTCATTGCTCTGCTGCCTGGTGGCGCCGTTGCGCTCTCCACGCTGCCACGACTCAAAGCTGATGAATCGAGCCACGACTTCGTCAAAAGACGTCCAAGACCTCTCATCTCCGGAGAACATATATTTGCTTTGTTTGAGGGACAAATCCCGAACCATCTCCTCGTGACCCATTTGGCCACACAGTGTCAGGAAACGGCTGTTCATCTGAGCATTAGTCATACGTGAACCTCTCTGTAGCTGGGCGAAGCGCGAATTGAGCCGCCGAAGGTGATCAGCGAGTTCCGTAACACTCTGGAATTGGCTGCCATGTAGATATGTCCATTCTGTGTATGTGTGATGCCATTCTAGCGCGGTGTCTTGGTTCCACGTCGTCGGTTCCATCTTATGTGGCTTGAGATTGTCGAGATAGTGGAAGAATGGTGAAAACAAGAGCCGATGAATGCGGAGGAGGCGTCAGGGGAAGGGACCACTAGCAAATTAGGTTTAGCTTCGGAACCCGGAAATTACTACGGCGAAGCAGTTACTACTGAATGCTTCACTGTGTGCGGTTCCCTGCAAGTGCGAGGGTGCCTACCAACGGCCACACTGTCTCGTTGCATCCACTGGCTCAACCCGACATCTGTGCCCTGAGAACACCCAGCATCTGTGCCCTGAAGACACCTTATGTTCGTCAAAGCGACACCGACGTGATGTGCTCCTGCACCTGGGGCCGACGGGCTGCGATGGATCGTGAGTGTCAGTTCTTAGTCCACTCCCTGATCATCCGGTACTGCAGAAACATCCAGCTAGGAAGGCAGCGCGCGCCATACTGATCAGTGATACGTATGGGCCGGAGAGGCTCACGACTGTCTTGTGTACAAGTTATCGTGGAGTGCACTGGCAAGCAATATCGCCCTCGGGCAAAAGCTCGTACGGTGCTACCTTACAATGATCTAGACTGATACTGGGGAGGGCAATAAGGCAGCTTGCTTGTCCTGAGTCCGCCCCTTCTTGTCCGTCTGCGTGCTTATAAGATCATATGAAAGTTGTTTCCGCTGCGCCACAGACAGATCCAGATGAACGACTATACGAGGGCGTAAGGCGTACGACCAACTGGTGCCTTACTGCTAGAAGGTAAGTCCATTTTCGAGACGCTCACCCGTTTGCTCTGTAGCGGACCCAACGGCGAATGGTCATTGTCAGACCTAATCGTTGAGATATCTATCGTTATTGGATACACCACACTGTGATCTTATCTGCAGCTGACAACGTTCCGGCCCCAAACTCGTTCCTTGGCTCGATAAAGGTGCTTGCGGCGTCAATTCACTCCCATATCGAGGTCAATTGTGGGACTGTTATTAGGAGGTAGGCAGTCACGCCTGATTTCTGGTCACACAACACTCGCGAGCCTCGGGGAATTTGGGACCGCTGTCAAAACACGGCGCAGTAGCGACACACCTGAACATAAAGATGTGTCTCCTGCCCAGCCTTGTAAGTAGTCATCCATCATCAGCACCCTCCTGATCTTGAATCTGAAACTGGCACCACTGCGAAACCCACCGATACAGCCACTATGGTTAACAATCGGATCCTCATTTTGGGGGGGGGGGGGGGGCGTGTCAGGCTTGACCACAGCCACGGCTCTGTCAAAACTCGCGCCAGCGCATGTTACACCTAAAATCGATATCTGCGAGATCCGGCCACACCCTGGTACCGTGGGCGGTGCCATCAACTTGACACCAAATGCGCTCCGACTGCTCGACTATCTGGGCGTATACCAGAAAATACGCGATCGCCGCTACGGCATCACAGTCAACGCTGTCGAAGTGTTTTCCATACACCATCGCAACAAATTGGCCGAGTCGTCATTTCGAGGTCCGAATGACGAAGGTATTGGCAGTCCACCTTATAAGGTAGGTACTTTCGCGGTCATTGGGTATGCGAGTCGTCTTACCTTCTGTTACACAGGCAATCCGCATAACACGAGCCAATCTCATGCATGCCCTCATCGCTACCCTTTCAACGTACCCCGCTATCATACTTCATCTCGACCACCGGTGTCTATCGATCGAACAGTCTCCACTATCAGATGGCATCACCGCTACATTTAGCAACTCTTCAACTTACACAGGCTCACTGCCTCTTGGCTGCGATGGAGTCCACTCCTTCACTCGGAATAGTCATGTCGACCCAGACCGCAAGCAGCTATACACTGGGGTGTCGAACGCCTTCGGATTTCTACCACTCACAGATGAAGACAGAACCGCAGCTCATTTCGAAGTATCGGCACTCAATTTTGCACCTAAAGGCTTGCTGCTGACCAGCTATCACGAAGAGACAAGGAGTGAAGGTTATGTGGGCGCGATCATCACCATGGAGGACGTCGGCAGTAGAGACGGATGGAAAGCAAAAGGCGAAGATGCGCAAGGCGTGAAGCAAGACATGCTTGAGCGGTTTGCTGGAATGAACACCCGGTTACCCATTGTCAGTGACTGGCTGTCAAGGGTGGAAGGGTGGTTCATGTGGCCGGTCTACATGGTGGAGAATGGCGGAGCAGGACGCTGGAGCCGTGGACGAGCAATGCTGCTTGGTGATGCAGCACACGCCATGCCGCCTCAGGGCGAGAGCACTGGAATAGTTATTGAGCATGGTGTTCTGTTTGCTCGGTGCCTTTGGGCAAAATTGGCCGGCCGTGATACAGGCGTTTCGTGGGACCCCAGCAAGGTGACGAAGGCATTCGAGGCATATGAAACGCTCCGTCGACCAAGGATCGAGGCAGCATGCAAGGAGAGCATGGCTGTTTTTCACAGCGTAAAGGAGATGGGTAGATTCGGGTTCTGGCTGAAGACTTGCATTATCCCGATCTTCCTGCATCTCACTCGCGGCAAGCGCCAAAAGCACTTCGAGGAAGACGTAACAAGGAGCTACCTTGGCTTTGACGGTGTCCATGCTGAACCTGAGCATGCGCATAGCACTGTCTTGTTGTATTCTTCGGGTCCATGGTGGACACAAGATTCGTGGAATCCGGCGGATGTGGCAAAGCTCTGGCAAGCATGGGCCGCAACGACGTTGTCCAGACTGTGGTACAGAATCTGGCGATCGCGGTCTTGGACAACCAAAGCAGAATGAGATGTTGAATTGGCATGAGGACTGCAAATCCATTATGACCCATACCATTAAAAAGCTACCGGACGACCAAACTGATCAAACAAAAGCGCTACCTGAAGCTCGATGCCCAATATTCCTGAGCGAAATCCAGGCCAACCTACCGTAAAGATCGACATAGAAGCTGATCTTCCCCTTCCTGGCGCCCTGCCCCTGCTCTTCCGCAGTCTCTGCCTTCTCCTTGCTTGCTGCCGAGGCGGCCTTCCGCGGAGTCGACCTTCGCCTAAACAAATGACTAAGGCGATATCGCTTGACGCGGAAGAGCCAGTACAGACCCATAGCGGCGGCAGCGTTGAACACGATGTATGCCCACAGAATGCCCAAGTTTCGGTATCCGTCCGAGGTCGAGATCCAGGAGCGTTCTAAGAACTGATTCGCATTCCGGATCGGGCAGTACTCGCAGCCAGTGGTTGCACTTGGGTCGAGGAGTTGTCCAGGGGCACCTCCTGCAAGATATTTTTGCATGTAGTCGCCACAAGTCTGCCCAGAAGGAGGATCAAAACGAGCTAGCTCGTTCTGGGCACACGTGATCGGACGGTTCGCAAGGCCGACAGCGGCTAACCCGCCGACGAGGTAGGTAAAGGGGCTAATGCGATACATGAAAATCCAGAACCCAGGTAGGGCGCTCGGTGCCTGCAAGACGCCGTTGAATTGCAGGCACATGGTGAACAGAATGCTGGAGATGGCTCCGGCGGTCTCTGTGCTGGGCATGACGAAGATGAGCAGCTGCGCCCAGGTCGAGGACATGATCATCATCTCGATGCAGTAGCCGAGCATGAGACCCTGAGAGGACGAGGCTGAAGGGCGCCAAATATGGGGAAGTACCAGGATGCCCAGATGATGATGCCGGCGAAGACTTGGTATGGGACTTCGACGAGGATGTGGGAGAGGAGACTAGATATGTAGTCAGCATCGCGTGAGGCTTGGAGCTAGTGTGGTGACAGGCCATGAAAAGCGCCAGATGGGCCGAGCAACGCTGGGATGACCTACAATGGAAGCCAGCCAAACATTCGGAAGGTGACTCGCGGACTTCGAAGAGATCGCGCTGCGGAATGAACCGGGACATCACTTGTTGGACGACCGTAGAGAAGATGAGATTGGCCATCTGAAGCCCTTTGTCAGCAGATTGACCGGATATGCAACGATGTGAGCTTGACTTACGTATATCGAGAAAATCAAATTTTGCATCGCAGTCACGGAAGAATTCTGGCGATAAAAGGTAAACCCGATGAACAAAGATGCGAAAATCGCGAAGCTGAGCTTGGCAAATATGTATGCTGGGCTCCGCCAATACGAAACAAACGTTCGTCCCAGGACCAGTCGGAATTGTGTCACGAAAGATGCGGCATACTTGCCACGAAACTCGAGATCGGGTTGAGCTTCGGTCGGCCTGTTGCCGGCAAGAACTTGCACCTTGGACTTGGTAGCACTCTTCTCCTGACTGTTTTCCCAGCTCTGATGCCAGTCTTTCGATCCGTCGTTGAGCATGGACAAGATATATTCCGCTGGGTTTTCCTCGGGCATGTATACACGAGCTCCGCAGCTCTCAAAGTACTTGGTAAGAGTACAAGCATCTTTGCCCAAGGGACCGTGGTACGCTGTCCTCCCTCCAGCTCCCATGAGCAGTATGGAGTCAAATTGTTGCAATATGAGCGCTGAAGGTTGGTGTATTGTCGCTAGGATTGTTTGCCCATTATCTGCCAGTCGGCGAAGAAGGGCAATGATAGTCCACGAGCTTTGGGAGTCCAATCCCGAGGTAGGCTCGTCAAGGAAGAGTATCTCAGGCCTGGCCGCCATCTCGACGCCGATAGACAAGAGCTTCCGCTGCTCCACATTCAACCCCGCGCCTGGTAGACCTACCATGCAATCGGCGAAGCTATTCATGTTGAGTAGAGCAATGACTGACTCAACATAGGCAAGCTTGTCGGCTTTCGACACTTTGGAAGGCTGTCTCAGAAGAGCGGAGAACCGGAGTGCTTCCCGGACTGTCGTTGTAGACAGGTGCAGATCCTGCTGCTGGACATACCCTATACTTCGCTGGAACGACGGTGTTATCGCCGCACCATTCATCTTGATGGTACCGGTGGTTTTGCCTACGCCATTTTGGCGCTGCGCCAGCGTGTCGAGCAGTGTCGTCTTTCCAGCACCGGAAGTTCCCATAAGGGCTGTTAACGTTCCCGGCGTCACGGCACCATTAACACCATCAAGTAAGCGTTTCGTCCCGGAATCATGAGGAATATCCAACGTGAGGTCTTCCCAAGTGAGAACTCCTTTCGAGTGTCTCTCGGGTGCTACCTGGGAATCTGATCCGCTGCGGGGCAATTCTTTGATGCGGTACTTGTCGCGTGAGGTCTCTGTATGCACCGATACTGCTTCTGGGTCGTGTTGGAAAGCACCTTTGACAGCTTTGCGGTCGCGAAAGATGAGTCGTTGAGCCTGTGTGTCAAGGCCAGGATTGATCTCGACAGCAACAAGATAGGTTGTGATAAAGAAGAAAAGATATCCAAAGGCGATACCCAAGTTCCTCCAGAGGTGGGAGTAGCTGTAGCCGTAGCTTGAACTGACCCATGCGTCCCCACTGACAACCCTCGTATCCGGCTGCGCGCCTGGCACAGCACACGCGAAATTGGAACTTGACGGATAGCTTGGGACCAGACTTTCGGGTGCGCAGGGAATACTCCGGCCGTGGACCTCGTTCACCAGCAGTGCCTCGAAGATGTAGGCAATTGGGTCTGTGTAGTTGATCCATCGGAACCATGGATGCATGTAGCTTGTTGTCAACGCAAAGCCTGTGTAGATGATCATCACCAGTATACCCATGCCACAAATAGCGTAGGCGTGAGCAAGTTGTTTTGACACAGCGCCAATTGTGCGAAAGATTGCAGACATCATCAGCGTGCAGATGATATTAAATAGGAAGAAGACGAAGAACGATGATGCCTGAAGACGGAGGCCGGTTATAAAGTAAAAGACAACATTAAACAGTGTTGAGATAATGAAGGTCTTCGGCACATCGACAGCGTAAGCAGCAAATGCATCGGCTGCGGGATGTACAAAAGCAAAGTTTTTCTGCTTAAGCACGATCGGCCGTCGAGCAAACAAGGCTCCACACTCTGTGACTGCCATGAGGGCATTCATCAGAGTGGCGAGAAAGAGGACAGATCCTCGAGACTGAAGACTTGCGGTCGTATTGACAGGACCATAGTAAATGGATCCCACGATGAATGCGAGTATAGTCCGACCGACAGCGAGAGCTATAGCTGCGCCACGGTCGTTGAGTTGAAGTTGAAGGGATCGGCGCAAACACAGACGGATCTGCATTGGTATCGAGAGGATGTATGCTGATCCTGCTCTTGTGTGCAGGGCTTGTGCGTGTCGATGTGCCACACGCACAGCCGCAAGATGACTGTCCGGATCTGAGGCCGATTCGGCGTTTTCTAGCTCTGTCTTAAAAAGCCGGTATTGCTCAGAATTGAGCCACTGTTGTTCGAAGTCGACCGCAGTCTGGGGCAGCGGGCCTTTGAAGTCCTCCGCGGGCCGTCTTTCGACAGGATTTGTGATAGATGTTAAAAAGTCCGGCGTCGTCATAGAGGCAGGCGCATCCCAGCCCATTCCAATGAAGTACGCCCGAGCTGACTGGACTGGACCGCAGTAGATTTGACGTCCTTCATACAGTAACAAGATCGTATCAAATGTGTCATACATGCTCTGACTCGCTTGGTACACAGCAACAGCCTGAGTGATACCGGCAAGATCTGACAATGTTCTCAGGTGCTGCACAAAGTCCAGAGCGGTAGCAGAGTCAAGGCCTCTCGTCGAATTATCCCATGCCGCGAGACAAGACCTGGTAAATGCCATCTCAGCTATACTAACCCGCTTTCTTTGCCCTCCGCTGACTCCGCGTATATAGTCATTGCCAACTTTGGTGTCCCTTACGTGTGTAAGGCCGAACATTCGTAGCATCACATTGACCATGTGCTGGACGTACATCGGCCTGCTCACGTTCTCCAGTCGAGCCTGTGGCGTTTGCGCTCGACAAGCAAACTCGAGCGTTTGCTCCACGGTCAAGTGCGGAAAGTGCTGGTCAGACTCTTGGTTGTATACAGCGCGGCCATGGTAGTTCTTGAGGAATGTGGCTTGGTCGACACCTTGGTACTTGATGACTGATTCTGGTGTAAGTTGCAGTCCGCTCAGCTGCCCTGAGATTGTCCTGAGAAAGGTCGTACACCCACTTCCGGGTCTACCAAGAACTAACAGCATCTTGCCCGTGCCGATGAAACCATCCATTGTATGTAGGATCGTCGTAGGATCTCGCGGCTTGCGGCCCGACAATATATGGGGCAGTCTGAACAACCCTGTGAAGAGCGAAGCCACAGTCGGCTGGATTGCCATCCCAGACGATGTTCCAGTCACTGAAAGCGACCTGAAAGTGATGTTCGCATTCGCGCGTGTAATTCCATCTTCACGCATCAAACATAGGAAGGTTTTAATCCAGAAGCGGAAATCGAAAGAACTGCCACGGGGGTCGAGCCGAGGATCTATGGCGGCAAGACGTTGAGGCACCAAGCCGACACCAGTTGTGAGACTCGTCGCCACCTGTGTGAGTTCGTCATGCTGGACGGAGTCGCTGTCGTTACTGACGGACCAATTCTCTTGCTTGGTACGAATGGCCAATTTGGGACGCTTAGCTTCGGCAGCAGAGGCAATGTTGTCACGGACTCTATCGCGGATAGCAGCCTCATAGAGCTCGTTATAATCAGACTCTGTGCTTGAACGACGTCTCTGTTTCGATGCCATCTTGTGTGGTGAGGGACCTCTGAGCCTCTGGGAAGAACATTCGCAGAACGAAATGGTCAGAAGAACAGGCGCGCTTCAGCTCGACCATTACCAGCAATTCATCGAGCGCCCGTGCGGCTTCTCACCGGCTGAAGCGAACCGCATCGAGTGGCGATGTCGGGCTCACGGCATCAGGCGCCAGTTGAGTTTAGCAGACGATAGATACCTAGGGTGTGGCACTCTTCCAGGCCCTCGAAGCAGCTGAACCACACCGCATGCGGGACACCCATCGTTGCTGATGTCCCAAGGGCACGCACGCTGTGATAGGCAGCATGGTAGTCAAAGCAACAGCACCTCGTATAACAGACTCTGTGACCCGAATGGGCTGTGTCAGGTTCTCAGGGACTTAGGGCAAGAACGATTGACAGCTTAGGTAGAGTTGAAACCCAAAGCTCAGTACCGCCTGCAACCAATCAGTGATAGCTCGGCGCCAAGATACCCATCTGCCCCAACCTCGTCCTCTTGCCTTGTGGTTGTTCAGCTACGCTTCTGCGGTGCCTTGGTAAGCACCTAGCTTTGTATGTATCGACACGCGACGAATAGCGTGGTGGTGATATACAGAGTGGACTACACCTGTTCGCGGGGTCTAGAAGCCACCACAGCAGATAACATGGTTGCCCGGCATGAGCACGCGCTACGAACGGCACAGTGCCATTTGTGACTTCTCATGGGTTCCGGGATCCATCGCGAATCCGAAGTGATTAAGTCAAGCCTCAGCTACTAGATACGTCTATGAACAGACAATGCTTTCAGCTCACGACATGCCGAGCCTCTGCTTCGGGAGCCGCGCTACTGTACCAAAAAGAATCTTCGTTGCTGATCTGCGACGGCACGTAACGTCAAGCACTGACCCCAACCAGCCTTGGTGTCGTTTCGCCCACGCGCAAGTCTGATCTGAGGCCTCCATTTGCACTCGAGCTTCATTATTTCTGCTCTCATCGTCGTCAACCATGGAAAAGAGGGCGTCCCGGTGTCCAGCAGAGGAGATACCTTACACAGCAGGGTCACCAGTCGTGGGCTCGGTGAGCTTCAAGACCTTGACCATCATCATCGGATGGACTTGCTTCGGCGTCACGGCCGTCCTCTGGCTGGTCCTCATCATACCGCATCTCTTTCGCTACAAGTCCCCTACCGAGCAACGACAGATCTTCCGGATCACCCTGACGCCGCTCGTGTATTCGTTTTTCGGATTGGTGTCGCTTCAGGCATACCGTGCAGCACCATATCTGGAGGCACCATCCAAGTGGTACGAAGCTTGTGCACTGGTCTCCTTGTTCCTGCTATACGTGAACTACGTGGCGCCGGATGCTCATACCCGGGAAGAGTTCTTTCATGGTCTGGTATTCCTCACCAAAGGACAGCGACAGCCGGGTAAAGGTCTTCGTTGGTTTAAGGTATGCCCGAGCTCTCTTTCCTTTATGAGCTTACTGATCACAATGGACAGAGATGCTGGCGGATGCTCTTCATCTACTTGCTCGTCTTCACTGTTCTCTTCATCTTGCAGGAGATCCTCGTCGCAACGGACTGGTACTGTAGTAGCTCGGCTCAGGCCAGACGAGGCCATGTATGGGTAATTCTCCATCGTCGCTATTTAGACACGGTTTACTGATCTACTCAGATCACGGTCATTGAGCTTGTGCTCACGATATGGGCCCTGATCGTCATCATAAGATTTCAACGTCGGCTCAAGACCTTCATGCAGGGCCGCAATGCTTTAGCTAAGCTCATCAGCTTCAAACTCTTCATACTCGTCACGACAATACAAAACGTGAGTACTGATGCTTCTCCTGCCGCGAGCTGCCTGGTGATAATTGCATAGTTTGTCTTCAACATCGTGAAGACACAAGTTCGAGGAAATTCGACCATCACATACCAAGACATTGCAATTGGTCTACCTACACTTTTGCTCAGCATCGAAGGCATGCTTTTCATGGCATCTTTCCATTTCACGATGCACTCCGGCCCCTTCAAGGGCCACGAGGGTCAGAAGAAAGACCTCCGCAGTATGCTGAAGGCACTGCTGCATGCGCTGAACCCAGAAGATCTCGTACATGGTGTGTTCTGGGCGCTCAAGTCGTTCTTCGTGAAATCGAAGATCCGAGCGGGCAGTAGCGATGTTGAAAGGCCCGTCGAGACAGTAGATGGCACGCAAGGACAAGTCAAAGGGTAGGGCACATGGTCGTTGGCATTCGCGGGGACCATGTTAAGTATTGCTCACGCGGATAATCCTGCCTAGATAGTGCTCGCTCACTCGACGATTGCGATAGATGCCCGATGAGGTGCTCGCGCCGCGTCAACCACATGGCCGTCCAGCAGCCCTGCACAGGGCCAGGTACCTCCCTGCTTTCGAGGCACTCCATCAACGACCAGAAAGCAACGACATCTAAACCATGTCATATTTTGCCAGGTCTGGACCATCGGACTGATCAGCAGCCATCCAAATAGCGTATGAACACTCCCACGCGCACGTTTGTGTGCGTACATGAGCAGGGTTGATACAATAAACGGGAAACTTACTTAGCGGCCACTCAGAAACCCTCCAGCGCAAGTGAGGCTGAGAATCGCCAAGCATTCCACGGTCGTGCTCACTGGATTTAAAGTTCAGCACAAGCGGGGAAGAACACCATCACAGTGGCAGGCAGTACCGACAGCGGCAAGCTCACACCATCCTCCACGTCTTTGCTTCCACACATCACGCGCCACGCCATGGAGTTTCACTGCGTATGCGACCATCCACCCCATCGAGCTGAAGGGACTCCTCGTCGATCCCTAGCTGAGAGTTTCCTGAAGTCGGACCCTTTCGAACTCTGCAGCTGTGATGGCTGAGGACATAGACACCCTCTCAACGAGCAGTAGCGGCGAACAAGCAGACGATAATGTAGGTGCCAAAAGGTCGCGGGCATTGATTACTCCCTGCGACAAAGCAAAGCGGCCTGGCATGTCTCAGCTGCTCGTAAGTTGTTGCTGACCCACACCGACAGAACATCGGACGTGATCTGAAGTTCAGCTCCGCAAAGCACGTCGACGGACACGCCACTCTATGTGGCCGATGCTCCTGTCTGTCTATAACAGCCTGCCATGCACGACAACTTGTGACGCTCTGCAAATACTAACCGACCCTTCACGCACCAAAACTGACCACCTAGGGACAACATGTCGGACATTATCCCCGGGCCGAAGGGTCTGCCCCTGATCGGGAACAGTCTGGACATGTGGCAAGACCGTGACATGCCACTCCGTGGGCTTGAACGTCTTGCCGACTTGTATGGTCCGATCTATCAGGCGGTCCTTGGCGGCAGACGTGTTCTGGTATGTAGCTCGGCGAACTTAATGCACGAGCTCACAGACGAAAAACGCTTCGCGAAAATCCCGCCTCCAACAGTTGCAAGTGGACCACGCCCGAAAGGACTGTTCCTCGCCAGGAACGAAGATCCTGACTGGGCGCAAGGTCACCGTATCTTGATGCCTGTCTTTGCGCCGCTCGCCGTGCAGGACATGTTTCACGAGATGAAGGACATCGCCAATCAATTAGTTCTGTCTTGGGCTCGGAAAGGCTCTGACCACCGCATCCTCGCCACAGAAGACTACACCAAGCTTACGCTTGACACAATTGCGCTCTGTACCATGGGCTATCGCTTCAACTCATTCTATACGGAAAGTCAGCACCCCTTCATCGAAGCCATGAACTTCATCTTCACCGAGAACACGGCCAGGACTACTAGGCCAGGCGTCGTGACAAAGCTGATGTATCGCACCAACGCTCAGTACGATCACTCACAAAGTGTCTTACGTGAGGTCGGACAGAAGATTATCGACGATAGGCGCGCGAATCCAGTTGACAAGAAGGACGTTCTCAACACTATGATATACGGCAAGGACCCTAAAACAGGCCTGGTCATGAGGGACGAGCTCATCATGGAGCAAATGCTCACATTTCTGATCGCTGGTACGTACACATGCAAGCAACACTACGAAAATGAAACTGTGAACTCTTGACTGACCAGCTCAGGACATGAGACGACCTCAGGGCTGTTGTCGTTCACTACAATGTATTTGTTGAAACATCCTGCAACCTACCTCAAGGCTCAGAAGGAGATCGATGAAGTTCTGGGCACTCGGAGCATCGAAGCCAGCGATATAAGTAAGCTCAAGTACCTGACAGCGGTCTTGAGAGAGGCTGCTCGTCTGCAGCCGACTGTTCCTGTGCTGCAGAAGGAGGTTGCTCCGGAGTTAGCTTCTGGACCAGTCCTTCTAGACAGTGGAAGATATCAAGTCCTCCCAGAGGATCGCATCATCCTTTTAATGAGCAAGTCTCAGCGCGATCCTACAGTTTGGGGTGAGGATGCCAATGACTTCAACCCTGATCGCATGCTGGACGAGAATTTTGACCGCATCAGCGCCGAGTATCCATCTGCATGGAAGGTGAGCACCGTACTGAATACCATTTCCTAGCTACGTACTGATCATGTCTGGCAGCCCTTCGGGAATGGTAAGAGAGCATGCATTGGACGTGCCTTCGCATGGCAAGAATCTTTACTGGTCCTTGCCATGCTTTTGCAGAACTTTGACATCAAATTGGACGATCCCAACTATAATCTTGTAGTCAAGCAAGCTCTCACGGTCAAGCCTGACAACTTCTACATTCGTGTCACTCCTCGGACGCACCTCCACCACACGTCCTCGTCGAGGTGTCCCGCAAGTCGACTATAAGCTGCGCACCCCGTCGCTGTCGCCGCCACGGAAGCGCCGTCGTACTCAAAGGCGCGTTCTGGGCGAGATCAGTCGCTGACACTTCAAGCTCTTCATGCTCTCACGGTTTGTCTTCTAATGACTTGGCGGACGTACGTTATGCCTCGGCTTGCCAATCGCGAACCAATCAGTGACTCCTCATCGGCTATCAACCTTCTCCAGCACTGAAGTACACCTATTTTGATTTTGATACAAAACATCTCCGCGATCGTATGATCACGCCTTGATTTCAGACAACTTCCCCTTCACATATCGCCACAGAATCAGACAGCATGCCCATCAACACATGGCTCACCACTCACCTTGGGATGAGAATACCACTTGTCCAGGGTGGAATGATGTGGGTTGGTAAAGCCGAACTCATCTCCGCCGTCGCCAACGCTGGCTGTCTGGGCTTCATTACAGCCTTGACACAGCCTACGCCAGAAGCTCTCCGAGCAGAGATTCGGAAATGTCGGTCTATGCTCGAGCCCGACGCTGTGCCGTTCGGCGTCAACATCACCCTGCTCCCGGCTATCAATCCACCGGACTACTTGGCTTATGCAAAGGTTTGCGTTGAGGAGGGTGTGAGGATTATTGAAACTGCGGGTGACCCGAGCAAGATCCTGAAGTATGTGAAGGACAATGGGTGCACAGGTATGCGATGATATTTCATTGCTGAGACGGACCCTGCTAACAGTCTCAGTCATTCATAAGTGCGTCACCCTGAAGCACGCCTTGCGGGCAGAGAAGCTGGGAGTCGACTGCATCTCGATCGACGGCATCGAATGCGCAGGTCACGGAGGCGAATACGACACGACATCGCTGATGCTATTGTCACTTTGCGCGGAGCAGCTCAAGATCCCGTATCTTGCGTCGGGAGGATTTGCGAACGGGCGGCAATTTGCGGCCGCGATCGCGCTTGGCGCGGCTGGTATCAATATGGGCACGAGGTGGATGGCTACGAAGGAAGCGCCGATCCATGAAGCGGTAAAGGACGCTATAGTCAAGGCCACCGAAAATGACACAGTGCTCGTGCTGCGGAAGTTTAGGAATACCACCCGGTTGCACAAGAATAAGGTCAGCATGGAAGTATTCGACATTGAGAACACGAAGCAGGATGTGGAGTTCAAGGATGTGGCGCATCTCATGAGCGGGCAGCGTGGAAAGGGCGTGTATGAGACTGGTGATGTTGATGCTGGTGTGTGGAGCTTGGGAATGTGTGCGGGTTTGATTCATGATGTGCCCAGCTGTAAGGAGTTGGCAAAGAGGATGGAAAGTGAGGCTGAGGCCATATTTGACAAGGCGAACTCGCAGAGGACTCCTAGAGCTAGGCTGTAGATAGACGAGCGTGCAGATGGGCCACGGAACGATTTCTTCGTTAGATGTCTCAGGCCGTGGGAAGCGCCCTCAACTGACTCAGACTTGCACAATACACCCTAGGAGCTTGAAGCCTACATATCGGGAAGGAGCTAACGAGGGGAAAGCTTTGATGCTCCTCGGCATTTGGGCGAGGTCGCATATCTCCCGCACGAGCCAATAGCGGCGCAGAATTCTCGAAGACGTAAGTCCGCGCGGCCCCGCTTCAATGCGGTGCACCGACTTTGCTGTTCCCCAGGCTTCGAGTCAATGACGTCTCAGCGAACGAAAAAGTGACTTGTGCTTTATAAATCAAAAGCCCGTCGAGCAGCAGTATCGTGGCTTTACAATAACCACAACCTGCCTCTTCATTGTCCACAAAACACATCACAAGATGGCAGTCCGCTCAGTTTTCGATCCCAAGGATATGGTTTGTTTGAGCTCTTTTCGCATTGATTTGCATGCTAATGCCAGCAGATCTTCCGCCACCTTGGCCCTACAGGTCTTAAGGTCAGCGTCTTCAGTCTTGGCGGCTGGTTGACGTATGGTGGCACACAGAAGGGCAACATTGTCAAGGTAGGTCGACTGGATCTCTGCACCCACTTAAGGCCCTACCGCGGAGCATCGCTGATACTCGTAGGACTGCCTCGAGACTGCTTGGAACCACGGCATCAATTTCTTCGATACTGCAGAGGTAAGAGCTGGTAGCTCCCGTCGGAAGACTTCCTGACGTCGTAGGTCTACGCAAATGGTCAATCCGAGATCGAGATGGGCAACGCGCTCAAGGAACTTAATTGGCCTCGTGACGAATACGTTCTGTCAACAAAGATCTTTTTCGGAACCGGCCGAAAAGAGCCCAATACTCGAGGCCTCTCCCGCAAGCACGTTGTCGAAGGACTGAAGTCTTCCCTCGAGCGCCTGCAGCAACCATACGTCGACATCGTCTTAGCCCATCGCCCGGACCGTGCTACACCCATGAAGGAAATCGTTGAAGGCTTCACTCAGGTCATCCGCAACCTCAACCTCGCCTACTATTGGGGAACCTCAGAATGGTCCGCCGTCGAGATCCAAGAAGCTACTCAGATCGCCGAGCGCTACAATTTGATTGCACCAATCGCCGAGCAGCCGCAGTACAACGCCTTCCACCGCGAACGCTTCGAAGTCGAGTATGCTCCGCTCTTCGAACAGTTTCAGTACGGCACAACGATTTGGTCACCATTAGCTTCTGGTCTTCTGACTGGCAAGTACAACGACGGTATTCCTGAGGGTTCTCGATTCGCAAACCACAAGGAAGTCTTCGGCAGCACGATTGACTCCCTGCAACAAGAGGAGGGCAAGGCGAAGATTGAGAAGGTCAAGAAGCTGACCAAGATCGCTGAGCGACTAGGTGGAAATATGAGCCAGCTGGCCCTTGCGTGGGCGGCCAAGAATCCCAATGTCAGCACGGTGATTCTAGGAGCGACGAAGGTCGAGCAGATCGAGGATAACTGCAAGGCGATTCAGCTGATCCAGAAGTTGGACGACAAGACAATGCAGGAGATCGAGGAGATCCTCGATAACAAGCCAACCCCCGCTCCGAAGTACGGACGTGAGAGGTAGGTGCTTGACATGTTCATAGTCTGACTCTGCGACTCCCAAATCTAGCAGTGGCTGACTCGCCCTAGAAAGGAGTGGAGGCAAAGAAAATTCAGAGCCAAGCTTTGAGACGGCAGAGCGGAGCGGCCCAAGACAGGCGTACAGCGAGCACGTAGAATACAGATAGAAAAGTTGTGCTTCGACTAATTTGACTTCCGAAGACTTCTGACATCGCCTGTGTGCACCTGACGTCACGACCTCAACTAAAGGCTCTAGGTATAAGGAGTATGACCATGCACTTCCGTAAGTCCGGACCTGGCACATCATGCAGAATCCTCGGAGCAATTGACCAAAGCGGTCGATAGACTGGAGGAGGAGTTCTGGGTAAGTAAAGACAAGCTGAAAGAGATATGTAGTCGATTCCAGGCAGAGCTTCAGCAGGGTTTGGAAATGGATGGTGCCAACATCGCGATGTATGTGACTTGGGTTCAAGGCTTGCCTACCGGACGCGAGAAGGGATCGTTCCTAACCGTTGACTTGGGTGGGACGAATATCAGGGTCTGTTGGGTGACACTGCTGGGTGAGGACGGGACTGGAGACAAGACCGAGGTTAAGCAACAGCAGTACGCGATTGATGAGGAGGTGAAGACGGGCAAGGCGGAGCAGCTGTGGGAGTTCGTCGCTGAATCCATAGAGGCCTTCATCAAGGAGGAAGACCTCACTAAGAACGGAGATATCCCACTTGGGTTCACCTTCTCGTACCCAGCAACTCAAGAGAGAATCGATCATGGCGTGCTGCAGACATGGACTAAAGGCTTCGACATTGATGGTGTGGAGGGGGAGGACGTGAGCAAGCAGCTGAGGCATGCCTTGAAGCAGAAGGTACGCGGCGGACCGTCGTCCAGATCTGAGCTGACTGTAGCAGGATCTGCCAGTGCGGCTTGTGGCACTAATTAATGATACGACTGGCGCTCTCATAGCTTCTCACTACAACGATCCGGACACCATCATTGGCGCCATATTTGGCACGGGATGCAATGCCGCGTACATGGAAACTCGAATGCCCAAGCTGAAGTCCTCGGTGGATATCATGGCCATCAATTGCGAATATGGCGCCTTTGACAACGATCACAGGGTGTTGCCTCGGACCAAGTACGATGAGCAGATTGACAAGGAGTCACCACGGCCGGGTGAGCAGACTTTCGAGAAGATGAGCGCAGGGCTGTATCTAGGAGAGATTTATCGACTGATTATCCTCGACCTATTTGAACAAAAGCTACTCTTTCATGGGCAAGACCTCTCAGCGCTGCACGACCCGTACATCTTGGACACTGGGTTCTTGTCCGGTCTGGAAGATGATGGGCTTCAGAAGTCGATGGAGTCTTTCCTAAAGTACAAAATCACGGCTACCGACGACGAGATACGTTCCCTTGTCAAGATTGCTGAGATAGTCACTGTAAGAGGAGCCAGACTATGCGCTTGCGGTGTCGGGGCAATCGCTCAGAAGCAGGGTCTGGCTAAGGGTCATATTGCCGCAGACGGTTCGGTTGCGAACAAACATCCCAAGTTCAAGAAGAGGTGGTCGCAGGCTCTTGGCGAGATCTTGGACTGGAAAAACGATGAAGAGCCCATCAAAATGACTTCGGCGGAAGATGGCTCCGGCGTAGGTGCTGCTATCATTGCGGCGATGGCAATAGAGAGAGGTTGGGTAAAATCAGGCTAAATTTCTGGCCCCCGTCTCGGCGGGGATTCTGAGTTTCCCCGAATGGGCACACTCGGCACAATGCTGTCTGAACCGCTTCGTCTTCTCCTCTCAGCTCGCTCGTAATGAAGTGGTGACCGGTGGCTCATTCGTGAGGCCAACATGGATGACAATGTCAGGTACACCATCTATGGTGTCCTAATCGTGCTGGCGCACGTCATCTGGTGGCTGTGGCGGCTCAACCGAACCCTGAAAGCTACCCCGGATTCCCTGAAGAAGTTTGTCACGCCGTGGGAGCCGGAGAAGATTCGAGAGGCCTACAAAAATGTGCGAAGTGCGGAGGAGGCTTCTAGGCCGCATCTGAGGTCCAAGAAAGGACGTCGATACGTCATTGTTGGTGGCTCGGGTTGGTATCTCCGTCCCTAAGCTGCTCTCGCTGATGTTCCAGGGACTGTGGGGAGCTGGATTGTACAGCATCTGCTCTGGCGTGGTGAGGATCCTCAGGCCATCCGGATCCTCGACATTGTTGCTCCTACACGGCCTGAAGCCACGGACCTCAACTTTATCAAGACTGATGTGGCGGACGACGAGTCAGTGGAGGCTGCCTACAATGCAGCGTGGCCCGAGAGAGTGCGGAATCAGCCGCTGACGGTCTTCCACTGCGCTGCCAAGATATACGTTGCCGATGCTTCTCTTCGGTACCTCGACAAGTATGTGCCTGTCAATGTCGATGGTGTCCGGTTCTCTATGGAGGCAGCTAAGAAGACTGGATGCGACTGCTTCATTGCTACGTCGTCAAGCTCCGTGTCCTTGCTATCCACAAACTGGTGGAGTATTGCTGGTCCGACGAACTACATTCAGTTGCGTCCCAACAGCGAGCCGTTACTAGAGTTGGACTCGGATGAGTTTTCGAACTGCTACCAGTACACAAAGGTCCTTATGGAGGATCTTGTCAGCAAGGCGAATGAGGAGGGGTTCAGAACTGGCATCATCCGGCCTGGGCATGCTATCTATGGACACGGCACGAACAATGACAACAGCGTGACCTGGAGGAATCTCCGGATGAAGGGCGGAATCACGTGGCTCAAGCCCTGCGTGATGAATTTCGTGCACTGTATCAACGTGTCTTTGGGGCAGCTGGCTTTGGAGGATCGTCTACTCGTTGACCCGAAAGTGTCTGGGAAGGGCTATGCCATTACAGAGCGTCCGGAACTTTACCACAACTACTACCGGGTGCTCGAGACGCTGGGAGGGTGTACTTTCCCAGATGTCCAGCCGCTAATGATGCTCAGCCTCGCGCAGATGATCGAGATGTATGAATGGGTCCGGTCTTATCTGCCGCTGCCGGCGATCACCGGCGATCTGCATAATCTACAACCTGGAATGCTGAAGATGTGCATGCTTCATGTGTTGTTTGACAGCAAGGCTGCTGCGAAAGATTTGGGGTACCAGCCGGCTTTCGACACGCTTGAAGGGTTGTGCATGACGGTCAAGGACTGGAACGAGAAGGAGAGTTCGAAGAATGGGTCAATTGATTCGAAGTCGAATCTGTTTTGAGCTGTGGGTAGACATTCGACGGATGTAGACCCAGGCCGTGCATCACCAAGACTGCAGACAAGCCGGGCAGGGACTGTACGTCATCTTCGACAGCACGACAGATCTTCGGACTTTGAATGTAATCTCCTAGCAAACTGACGGCTAAAGGATTCTTCAGGCTACATGACATGTTGAGCCCCTGACAGATCCAGTGCAGGACCCTTTCGATCTTTTTAGCACCATAAGCGCTTGCAGCACTAGTAGTCCTCGATCACACCGTTCAAGCTATTTGGCTCCCACGCCTCGTGCCTCCACTCAGCTTCTTCATGGACCTGTGGCTCTCAAAAGCACTGCCATTCCCCCCACGCATCCATACTCGCACACGAGTGAGCTCCGAGCCTAGAGGAAGGATATCGGCTTCTTCATCATCCTTTGGGACCCGAGTCGTCCGTTCTCTGAGCCAGCCACAGCAAAGCCACCTTGCACACATTGACCTGCTAGTCAATCCCAACAACTGTTAGCTACGTATCGCAGAGTACCCATCGAACGTTCTTGCGCGGTAACCAACTTCCAGAAGAGAAAAGCGAGTTCCTAACCTCGCCTCGAAGGAAACTTTCTGGGAAGGCAGGCGTTCAAAGGGCTCTGTGTCAATCCGTGAGTGCGAATTCATTCAATTCTATAGCCGCGGGAAGGCCTTGCCTCAACCACTGAGTGTTGATAATATAATATGCTTCCCTTGCCTCGACCCCCGTATCAATCTTCGTCATCTCTCATCCAAGCGTCAAACCATCTCACCGCTTGGCTGATGAAGTATCATGTCAGTACTCATTGAATCCAGTTTTCAAATCCAGTTATGGCTCAGCAGGCACTTACAAATACGCGCTCTCTTGCGCAAAGGCCTTCTTCTTGTCCGTCAAGTCCGTCCTTACCGCAAAACCATGCTCGGCATCTGCATACAGACTCGTCTGAAACGTCTTATTCCCCTCCGCAAAAATTGCTTCGATGTTGGTTCGGTTCTCCGGTGTATTGGAATTGTCAAGCTCCCCGAATTCAATACTGATCGGCCCAGCGATGGACTCCCATTCATCGGCCGTTACACTCGATGGATGGGCGGTGAACCCTGCATCGATGCCTCGGCCTTCAGCGAGGAAGATTGCGACATATTTGCCGCCGAAGCAGTATCCTGTAGCTCCAAGTTTGGTCGTGCCGAACTCACTCCTGACGGCCTCTATGGCAGTCTCGATGATTCCTTCGACCTGTGACTGCGGATGTCGCGCGCGCCATTCCGTCATGTTGAAGCCGGAGTTGGGATTGCTCATGGCGTCAACGGGTACGGGATCGCCTTGGAAGAGATCGGGCATTGCGACGAAGTACCCGGCCCGAGCGAGACTATCGGCCAGACTAGGAATACTGTGTCAACACTCGGCACGATCGACTCTGCCATTAGAGGCCGCCCTGGTACGTACAGCTTGTTATTGACAAGAGCGTTCCCGAAAATATCGGTCAGGTACAAAATACCATACTCCGTCTGGTTTCTTCTGGGGTATGAAAGGTAGACATTCTCTGGCAACTGATCAGTCTCGTCATCCCAGTATCCCACAGGAGCAGCTTCACTGACCACCACCAAGCTCAACAGTCTCGCCAGCTGGTGTCCCGTTATTGATCACTCCGTCATCGAACCAGTGTCTGAAACCATGGAAGTATTGGAACACATCGCCAGCATGCTCGTGTGATGGATTAGGCTCGCCAAACGCACTAGCCGTCGTGATCAAAAGAGCCGCAGTCCAGACAATTCCTTTCATGGTGGACAATCTGAGGCAGAGAAGTGTTGTGACTGACAACTATGCTGCGACCTTGCGAGGGCGACCATTGTTCTATATAATCCACCGAGCTACGGCCAAGGAAGGCTACTCCACACGTGCGTGATGGCAACATATTGGTAGGTGCGTAACGATCAGCTAGTCACTCGGTACACTCATCGAGTCGATCGCGCAGCGACACACCGAACGTGAAATACGTGGTGATGTCAGTGCCAAGACGGGGACTTTGCCAAGGTGAATTTGTTGCCTCCCTCCCGGAGGTGCACTTGCCGAGGTGGGGACTGCGGGGGCGGCACGCGAGCTGTGACTCTGGTAAGTACTGGGCATCATCTTCAACCTTGGAAGCGGACCACCTTCCATTCCTTAGCCAGAAATGTTGCTCATCATGGACACCAAGGTCAGGGAGGGCGCTGAGACCCTGGAACTATCACGCTGTATGAGTTGGTTGGCTTGAAACGGGCCTCACGCGAGCGTCAGCGTGATAAGTTGTTGTTAACTCTTAGACTTTCTGGACAGGGAGACAGCACTGTGGGCAAAACGCCCAGAAAGTTTTCTCGCCGTCACTACGCAGTACCTGCGGCAAGGTAGCTGCTAACTTCAGCCCTCAACAGAGAAGACTCCCACCAGCGAGTCCTCAGGGCCCAATGGCAGACAAGCCGGCGGCTCTACACCATTGGTATCAATTACAATCTGATTCTCTGGTCCTTCCGCGTACATCATCACCGCGTTTGACAGATCCTTGGTCAGCTCAGTGTTTCCCCAATTCTGCGGTGCGAACATGATACTCGAATGCGCTTCCGACATCAACGTGTTGGGGATGTCTTCCGCGCGCGTGTAATGGTGCATGCCCAGATTGACCCAGGTGACCAGATCTTGCTGCACGAGTGACTCGCCGTCGAAGAACTTGTAGAACTCGGTCAATGGCGCCTGCGGGACATTCTGGTTCAAGGTCGCGGTTGACGATGGTTCATTGTCGTGCTGACGAGAGACCGCGATAGGCTGTTTGGCGAATTGCGCGTTCTTGAGGAAGAATGGGGAGTTTTGAGAAGCGAGAATGACATTTGACAGGCCTGGAAGGACGCGATAACCACGAGGCACGCCCCATTCGTTGAGCTGGTCTTTGTTGACCACTGTGAACATGGTTTGACCGTTGGGAGGGAGGTTGATGAGGCCGTCGTCCTCGGTCTCCACATCGCTGATGTTGTAGCGCATCATCTCGAAGGCGCCAAGCTCGGTGAACCAGGGCTGGGTGATGTTTTCCACAACTATGTCTGTCTTGACAAACGTATTCTTCTCGTCGATCAGGTCGAAATCAGCTTTGAAGTTCATGACGTGCGTATGTAGTGTTCCAGCAAGGGTTTCTGCGACTCGTGGACCCCACTGACCTTCGTCATCTGGTCGGAAGTAGTTGCCTTGAATGTATCCGGACGCGTGAGCATCGACGGTGATTGTTCCGTCAACAAAGAATCCGTAATCCCATAGATAGTCGTAGTTTCCCACTGTGGCGACCATGCGTACGACCAGCTGGGAGCCCTTCGTTGCTTGTGCCCACACGGGATTGTTGTGTCTGGTGATTGGGGTACCGATGTCTGTCTCGAAGATGCAGATTGCGCTGTCCTGGGTGTAGGCTTGTTGCGTTGTCGTGGAGTAATTGCCGTCAAGATATACTGAGTGGTACGGACAGTCGTAGCCAGGTATCATTTTGATGCTGGATGCGCCAATGCCATAGAATCGGTCCATGTAACCAGTGCCCGCCTGGAATGGGTTGTTGCCAGCGTACTGTAGATCGTTAGATTTTACTTACCTTCTTGGTGGGGTCTTACCTGAGCGATCGCATCTTGGAGTGAAAGCTCGTACAGGACGCGCTCTCCTTTAAACTTGATATCATAGAACTGGACACCGACATCGTAGTCGAAACGCATGTAGAACGTCCATCCAAGGTACTCCACGTACTGTTCTTGCCTGTCGACCTTGAAGCGGTTGCCGTCGAGGGCTAGTATGGTAGGCGCGAACCGATCTTCGAGATCACGAACAGGCCCAGTCTGGTTTTTGTAGAGGAAGCTGATGTCTGTCGCGGGTGGTGGGGACTTTGTGACATTGCCATCTTTCCAGGCGTTGTAGAAGTCTTGTACACTGTCATAGACCTGCAAGTTGTACACGGCTTTGAGCGATGTCCATAGCGAAGCGTCTGTGCCTGTGATGTCAAACTGGATGTATAGGTCCGATGGCGAATCCCATGGCTCCATGACATTTCGGCGGAAAGGACTCCAGAATAGCGTGCGCTCCCCGTCAGTTGATGCGGGGCTCTGCATGAAGTATGTCATGGTCGAGCGATTGTCACTGCTGCCGTAGAATGCCATGTCCAGGAGGTCATTTGTCATGTCCGCAATGGGCGATAACGTCATGTTCATCAAGTTGTCGATGGCTGCTGACCGGACAGGATCGACCGGTCCGGCACTCCAGAGAAGTCTTGCTCCGTTGGGACCGTTGTAGATGTTGTCGAGTGAGCCAATTTGAGTACTGTTGGAAATAGGGAGAGGTCCGACCTGGGTTGCTTAGTGCGGACTCCAGTAGCTGGATGGAGACTTACCGAATACTCAGCAACGATTGGGACTCGGAGGCCTCCCTGGATTAAGGTCACTCGGGCGTATCGTGGTACAGCGCCGCTGCCGTCGAGGTAAGACAGCACATCGGACTTGTTGGGCTTGAGTACATCGATATGCCAGATGTAGTTGTCAGAGAGGGAGATGTTGGGGCTTGAAGTGCTGGTTAAGTTGAGGCCTTGGGCAGGCGCGAGGAGCCAGTTGGCCAAATCGTCTATCTCCTGCTGAGACAGGGCAACGAATGGATTGGCTTTGGGCGCGGCCGTGGGGATTTCCTCTGGCAGGGTGCATGTGTCTCTAGATAACAACGAGCGACGATCCGTACGCGGGGATGTGGGCTGCCATCCAGCGCGGGTCGTACTGGAGTATCTCGCATTGGGGGCGCTTAAGCCCAGTGATGCTGCAGCAAGCAGCAAAAGTATCGACTTGAACCACATAGTTGTCGGGGCGGACTCTGGGCTGAAGGTTGGTAGTATCCCGACAGGGCTGCCATGGCTGACTTTATAGACCTGAGCTCTCACCGACCGAGCTCGTAGCGTTCACCACTGAAGTACGGACTTACCGCCTCTGCTGCCGATGTGCACATGTTGCTCCATGTGTGGAAGAGAGCTTACCGGAGGTTCAAGCGTAGATAGCGTGTTTACCGCCACGACCATTGGTCATGATGTGATGTTGATGCTGAGAGGCATGGTGTTGAGGCTTTGCCTGATGTTTGCCTCGTGCCAAGCTGCAGGTCGAACTGAGCCATACTCGATCCGGTTCTGATAGCCTAGCCCCTGTCCAAGGTGTTGAGGTACGTGAATGCCGAATCACAGAGGCAGCAGGACCGTGGTCCAGACGGCAGAGGTTGGGCTTAGAAGTCGGAAAAATCAGAGACTGCATTTTGAGAGTGCCAAGAGATAGTCATCTACAAGGTGATTGGCTTTAGGCCAACGTTGAAGTTCTTCAATCGCCTATCGGCAAACCTTACCGCCACGAGCTGGAAACCCTTTCACTAGCTCTAGCAGACCCTCGGCCGGAGAAATCTGCTATCATGCCGGTCATCAAAGCTTCATCAGACGACAGCCGGCACCGGAGTCGCTGAGTCCTAGCGTTAATTCTTCAACACCGAGATGCACTGAGTCTCGATCCTTTCCCTTTGCAGCAAAGATAGTCTAAAGCCTGCGCGCATATGGAGACCGTACAGCGCGCTGCAGGCTTGAGACCGTGAGGATCGAGGACACCTGAATGGGAACCTACTTTCGGCGATCGAAGTCAGGTAGGTCGAACGTATCATTTACAGCCCAGCTCATGGATAATCAGGCTGTCTCACGTGCCGAACGCTCCACCAGAAATGCGACGAGCAGAGGCCACAGTGCCAAAGATGCCTGCAGCGAGGTCTGGTCTGCAGAGGGTACGCCAAACCTTTGAAATGGGTTGACTCGAGAGGTCGGAAGCCTTTGTCGTCCACACCAAGCCCTGCTCAGTGCCTCACGCCGGTCGCAAAGCTGTCGCCGCGACTGCTACCATACAACAACCGACATTTCAGCCAGTTGGAGAGGTATGTGCTTGAGCATTGGACGACAGTGACCGTCCCACAAGCATGCCTCGATCCTGCATCATCGGACCATCTTAAAGCCATGTACCTGGACATGATCTATACCGACAAGAAGGTGGCACTCGATGCTATCCTTGCTGCGTCCTCTGCGCATATGTTCTCAATGGGCTACGTCTCGCAGACGGCGTTCTTCGCTGCGAAGCAACAGTCATTGACATCCATGATTGCGGTACTCAATGGTGTGAACGATGCAGTCGTCGAAGCTTATCATCAACCGCCATCCGCTGTTGACGACACGACTCTGCTAGCTGCTCTTCTCTTACTAGGTCCAGAGATCATCAATGCAGGCTCTAAAGAGGGACCAGCGCAGGTGCGTTGGTTGCTGCAAGGGGCTCGGTCACTGATCGCGGAGAGACACAAGTACTTCGCTTGTTTGTGTTCATTGGCTCATCCAGGAAGCAATCGCCACACTACAGACTCGACAGTCCCATATTCTCTTCTTGCGTACGATCGCTGGCTTTCACTGACATCATAACTTCAGTCCCGTGTGCGAGGAGACCCATCATTCCTAAACAGTACTGGTTGCCGGATGCTTTGCAGGCAGCAGAAGAGGGCTTACGCACGATGAAGCCGGATCCAGACCTTGGCTATAGTGCTCGCGTTCTGTCGCTGCTTGGCGAAGTTGCTTCAGAGATCGGCGACCTTCTCGCGGGATCTATAGCGAAGCAAACATTTCGGGAGAATGCGTGGGATCTGCAGGGCAACCTGGACAATGCCATCGAGACCGTCCAGCAGCACAACATCGTCCAAGCCTCGAGGGGCCTGAAGCTTGCCCACATCTACAACATTGCAGCAACGACTTGCCTCGCACTAGCCACCAAGATCTTCCTCTGTCGTGCAACAGATTTCGACTCGGCCTCTCTCAGCATCGACCTGCTGCGGACAGAGCTCTGTGAGGCGATGTCATCAATTCCCATCGACGACAGCACCTCGACAATGCTTCTCTGGCCGCTGTGGGTACTAGGCTGTGAAACCTACGCATACAGTATATATCCGTCGCGCCATGATATCACAACGCACCTACAGAGACTTTACGAATCTCAGAAGATGAGAAACGTGAAGCAGTGCTTAGATACGCTGGAGGACCGGATCTGGCATCGGAGCCCCAAACTCTGTACGGGTGAGCCACGTCTTGAGCGCGATTGGCAGGAGCAGTCGAGTTGGGTTATGCGTTGCTGGCAAGAACGTATAGAGCTACTGCTAGCGTGAGTATTTGCTACATTTCGAATTCCCACATCCCAAAAAGATTGACGTTATTCATTCAATCGTTTTTCGAGATTTTGCTGCCTTGCAGCAAGTCATAAGATCGTGCTTCAGGCTGGAGAACTTCTTTTAGGGATGGGAAAAGCTCGTTCTGGTGGTGCTTGGCTTGGCTTGGCACTTCCCAGCTCGGAGTGTACTGTACTGTACTCTGGACAATCCCTTGTCCTGAAAACTTTCTCATCGGCTCAGCACTTTTCCCTTGAGCCTCTGCACATCTTAGCATCTAGCTCAAAGGTCATAAGTAACGGGGAGCTTCTTTTAGGTCTGGCGAAACCCATCTTAATCTTATTCTTGGTGGTGCTGTAGGCTTGGCGTTTTCGCCCCGGAGGTCTCTCTGGGCAGTCCCATCTCTTCAGAACTTCCTTTTGCACATAGCGCTTTTGCTCTGAGTCCTCTGTACATTACATTATCCAGAGTGAAGGTGATGAGGCCTAGGAAGTTTGTCGTTGCATTGGGTATCGGTAGCATTATCTAGGCTTAGCACTTCCAGACCTAGGCTCTTTTTAGACGGTCCCTTACAGTATCAATATCAGTAAGGCTGTCTTATAGGCGAAGCACTTTCTCTTCGGATCATTGATCCATGATAGCATCCAGGATAGAGGTGGCAAGGACTGGCCATATCGCTCTAGAGATGGGAGGAATCTTTCCTAAAGTATGTAGGTTTAGCACTGCCCTTTCTCTAGGGCAGTCCCACGGGCAAAGCACTTTTGTTGTCTACCTCGATGATTCTGTAGAGGCTTGGGCGCTCCTGGATATGGGGTGGGTTTTGGGACATTTACGAGGCTTTCTCATGATTCTAACACTGATTCTTGTGTTCTTTTCACAATGTAGCACCGTAGATCAGGTCTTGAGCCCCGAGAACGTTGCTTCAGGTCATAGAGACCCGGTGGCACGAGATGACACGAAAATGCGCTTTACAGATTCCATCTCCTACCCATGCAGACAAGCACCGCACGTTCTCTACTGGCGCTCTCATTCTTCGGTCCTCATGGCTGCTCGGCCAAGGAGGACACTGAAGCCATGCCAATACTACGCTCATGGATTTGGTGGGCTGCCTCACTCGAGCGTCAGTACGAGAGGCCCAGAGCTTGTGGATGATCTGGCTGGGAAGGGCGCTGCAGGGAAAACGTCCATTACATCTGTCACAAGCTGTAAGATCGAACCCGAGCTCAGCTAGGCAGTGTTATGGCTCCAGCACAAGCCTTCGTCTAGCAGAACGAGCGAGACACTTATTCTTGGACTTGAAGAAACACTTCACGGAGACTACTGCACCTCTTGCATTCGTGGGAAAAATACACAGCAATTTTCTCCTGATATCTCTCGTGACGTAGCCTCAGTGTTCAAGTCTTTGATCCAGATCGAGGAGAAATGAACACTCTACAGGTAGAACCTTGTTTACAAAGAGAGCTTTGGAAGGTTTTGAGAGTGATTTTCAAGTGCGAAGTCTGGGCGTTTGGGCCTTGACAGGCTTGTACGGTTATGCCTTGTTCGCAAACTTAGCATTGACCAAGCAAGACCTTCTCTATTAGTCTCCCCAAACCAACATCTCACTCTGGCGTGACTAGATGCCCTTGAACACATCACTGGTGAGCCGTAGCCAACAACCTCCTCCAGCAGACGAACACCGGTTCGCCCGGACCTGAGAGGAGGCCGGTCAAGGGTCAATGATGGGAATGCAAAGGAGCGTAGAAGAGGACATGTACACCTGTCGATCCGGTAAACTGGGTCACTCCAGGCAATAAGGTGAACTGTGAAACTATCAGATGGCGACACAATCGCCCATCGCTACAGCACCGTCAGTGTGTCTGGATGGACTTGTATTCTTCCAAAGTCGACAGGCTCGTCGTGATTCTGTTCGCACGCCGAGCCGCGACAAGAAGATTTGTCCTTCCACATCATCCGAAAGGACTTCTTGCAGATGTACCGACGTTCGTGAAGCCATCCACCAGTAGATCTCCTTTCTAGAACACTAAGTCGTGTCTTCGGGCTCGCGGGGTCATTTCGTTGTCTTACAGCTTCGAACGCCCCCATATACACGTTAGCACATTGAACAAAGAGTCTCCGTATAGAAGGAACTCTCCCGCGCTGCGAGGTGTGTGGACATCGCCCGAGAAATGATGGTCGTGCTTTACTGGACTTGCTTTCGGCGTCAGCTTGGTCTCATGTCGTGAGTCCAATCCCTACCAAGCCTTCCCCACGCTTTATCACGTAGGCTGCAGGACGTCTGTACACCGCTAGACTTGGATTCATAGCCACCAAACCGAAGATGGCAATTCGGCGCCTGGGAGTACACATCCGAAGTCTGGAGTCTCTGGACGTGATAAAGCTTGGCGCTTTGTCCGCACTCTATTCCCATCGCCAGCAGACCTGTCCCATACCTGCCGACTTTTTATGTAAGTCATGCGGCCATTCCAACACGTCGAAAGAGTATGTGCAGATCAAATAGTGTCTTTAGTGATCTGAAAATTCGATTCCGAAGGATACTAGCTGAGGCTTGGCGCCTCACGTCGCTTCTTGCTCCTCTAGTCCCACGGTAGCCCAGCCTGTCCTGTTCTGTCCACTTATCTTCTGAGATCTCTAACCACCTCGAGTACATCAGACAGGCATACATGGATCAAAGAGCATATTTGTAGCCGTGAGACCTTAACCTTCTGAATTTCGACTGAAGCTTAGCGTCTGCTACCCACTCTCCAGTTCCACTGCCTCGACCTGCGTACCATCCCCAC